ACTAATCTGGCAAGGCTGACAAACTAATAATTTATAGTTTTGGCACGAAGCTAGAAAAACTCATTTTTATTCCCCAAAAAAGCTCTCCTTAGATACGCATGATGATAACGTAAGTTAGAGACCAACAAACTTTTCTCAACATACAAATACGACGTGTTCATCAAATGCGAAGTTTCTAAACAACAGAAGAGCAAGTCCAAAAGAGTCCAAAATCAAATTGTGTAATACATTCTTAACAGATTTTTTCACGAAGTGGTCACAAAATGTTAGCTAGAACATCTGGACGCCGCGTCATTTTATTGAAGCTATTAAAACATGAGATGTAGAATATATTACGTGAGGACTACTTAGAGAAACTTAAAAATCTGATAAAGTTGAACATAAGTGGATGATATTCCAAGCAAAAAAATGATGCGCAACAATTCCTAACCAACACCAAAGAAAACAGATATTTTCTACAACATATATAAATCATAAGTGTAGAAGCGGAATTCTAGAGGCTGGCGTATGACATTTCAAAGAGTGTGTTCTCGGTGGTGATGGCGACTACAGCAATTACTACGAAAAGCGTGAATAGATGATCCGCTAGCAGAATCAAATTAATGATGAGTTTACATCCTGTAACTAGCACGGTATACGGTAGCCGTCCGTGGTAAGAATAAAATTTCGAAGAAGGAAGAAAAATATCAGCAATAAGGAATTGTCTTAGTCATTGTTTTGATAAATGTCATAGAGTAGTCATGATAAAGTTATGAAGACTGCAAAAAAGGCGCAATATTCATCGCATTTCTACTTTCTCTTCTTCAAAACTTTTTCACTTGATTTAGAGGGTTGGTTCAGAAAATCTTTCTTGCTAAATATTGGAGGCCTTCATGACGATTTATGGACACTGCTCTGTGCTCATCGTGTCTACTCAGTGCTGAGATATAGGAAAGTTCCTAAGGATGTCTGATTGTCAAATTTCTATTGTACACCACTATTAAAGTGTTCAGATAGTATTACAATTATCTCTCAGAACATCTTAAGTGTTAATCAAACGGGTAAAGAAGACATCAATAACCCATGTAGATTCTGTGTGGCCAGTTGTTTATGTGTACAAATTTGTCATTGGCATTAAACACACGTCACTGAATGCTGGCTATAATACATGTTGATGAAAATGTGAAGTATATCTCACCTGCCGGAAAATAAAAAGTGCTCATAATAGTATTTAGCTAGCAACACATTGGAATTAACGAAAATACTGTTGTACGGTCTTCTCTACGCCATAATAAGATGCACAAATTCAGTAAAGGTAAAAAGACCCTGAAGGAGATTGTGGGAAATTTCTAAAATTCCTGCCTTCAATTCAACAGCACCAATATGTCGGTGAAGATCTAGGATCTCAAACGATGGTTACATTCACAATTTTAAGTAAAAGCAAAAGAGTTCTTGAGGATGTAAAAAAGCCATAAATATCTCACCATTCTAATGAATATATGGAAATCAAATGTTGAAAAATGGGCATCAGGAACTCCTGATCGTTTTGATGAAAGACTCACCCAATAAAGAATGCGAGCAATTCGAATACAACAGCTAGTAAAGGAAAGAGCGCAATTTCGTCAAACGCCATTGCTGTTCCACTGATAATGCCAAGCACAACGAACTGACAAAGCACCGTATCTTCAACGACGCCTATCGATACCGCCTCCATGTTGACACAGAGGAATGTATGTATGTATGAATGTATGCGTGTATGCATGTATGTGTGCATGTATGTATGTATGTGTGTATGTGTGTATGTGAGTATGTATGTATGTATGTATGAATGTATGTATGTATGTATGTATGTATGTATGTATGTATGTATGTATCTATGTATGAATGTATGTATGCATGAATGTATGTGTGCAGGCATGTATGTATGTATGCATGTACGTATGTACGTATGTGTGTATGTATGTATGTATGTATGTATGTATGTATGTATGTATGTATGTATGTATGTATGTATGTATGTATGTATGTATGTATGTATGTATGTATGTATGTATGTATGTATGTATGTATGTATGTATGTATGTATGTATGTATGTATGTATGTATGTATGTATGTATGCATGTATGTTTGCATGTATCCGTGTGTCTGTAGGTGTGCTGTGTGCGTTGTTTTTTTTTTATCGAAATTCCTATTGAACTGGACGAATGAATCTTGTAACTGTGTGTCTGTAAGCGAGCTGTGTGCATATGCTTTGTATGTGAATTTATAAGCACGTATCCATGTATGCGCGAGATCGTAACAGTATAGTCGGACAGAGAGCAAATCCCAAAAATAACTCTAAAGAAGGATCATCTGCACAAAAAGCATCTCCTGCATTGAAATTCCTATTGAACTGAACGAATGAGTCTTGTAACGACATCATGATAATAACATACTTTAAACAGTCAGAATTCTTTTGTTTGACTGCCACATGCAATGGTGTGACGTTATAGTATACCCAAAAATGTGGAGTGCTGTGCGAAAACATCTGCGTCAGCCGGGATTTGAACCCAGACCTCACTCTATCCGTGCTATGCAAAACGAGCGTCGGTGGTGCAACGGTTAGCATACGCTCCCGGGCAGAGTCAGATCTGGGTTCGAATCCCGGCTGAAGCAAACGTTTTTGCGCAGCACTCCACATTATTGGATATACCATAATTACATACCACTGCAAGTGGCAGTCAAATAAGAAGAATTCTGAATAGTCTCTTCTGTTTAGCCGTTCTGAGGTGTTATTGACATTATTTATTGAATATTAGCGAAGCATACAACAATACAGTTAGTAATGCAGCTTGAATACACAATATTCAAGGTGGCTAAAGTCTCGGCGGTTTGCCTTCGTCAGAGCCTGGAAAGATCACATTGATCCACAATCCACTAAGCCAGGAACCTCCATAACCCTAGCAGAAAACATTTGAGATGTGTTTTGGATCGCATAACAAAAGCTTCATTTTAAAACACTCACCGTTTTTGATGTTTGGGTCCATCAAATATTAATTGAAGACCAGCCGTTTAAGGTCAGTGCATCAGTGGGCTGTGCCTAACTCGGGCCGGAAAAATCAGCCTGAGGTATGGTTCGAGGTCACGCGTGATTACGAGGCACTCCTCTTTGCGGTCCACACTATTTGTTCAAAAGATTGAAAAATTTTTGGACAAATATAAATAAGACCATGTTTTAGGTCTTTTAATTAATCATTGGAGACCTGCCTCTGGTACAATGATTAATTGAAGGACCTAAAACATTTAAGCGGTGAGTGTTTCTGAAATGAAGCTTTTTCTATACGACCCAAAACTTTGTTTCTCCCGTTTTCTGGTGGGGTTACGGAGGCCTCTAATTTAATAATTTGCGAATCAATTTGACCTCTCCAGGCTCCAGAATTAGACTTCGTCTAATCATAGCTGCTCAAGGATTTCGTCTTCTTCGTCACAAGCGTAGTGGAAAAATGGTCGAGAAGATCTCTTTGTAACATCAGGTATAGCTAAAATGGAACATTTCATGCGCGTTCGTTAAGTGATTGCCGAAGAGTGCTGAGAAAGAGAGGAGATGGATCAATCTCACGCAGAGTCTCATCAACCACCGTCCCCTAACTAATTCTAATAATCATAGAAAATTATCAATCTTCCTAATCTGAGAGCATATCAGTTTTACTAATCTGAGAGCTGATTATCAAGAAACCCTGAAGTAAACACCTAATTAGCATACGATTGAAAAAGTATATAAGCCGACGAATTAGCTTATTCGGTATTGTAAAATGTCTTCAATTCCTCCCGGCGACATCATCACTCAGCCAAACACGAAGATTGTCTTCAATGCACCGTACGACGACAAGCACACCTACCATATCAAGATCATCAACGCCTCTGGACGACGCATCGGATGGGCGATCAAGACGACGAACATGAAACGTCTTGGTGTCGACCCAGCTTGCGGAGTGCTTGACCCAAAGGAGGCAACACTCATGGCTGTATCATGCGATACCTTCGATTATGAGCGTGAGGTGTGTTTTATTTTCTGACTTACTGACTTTATGTAATATAATGTCAGGTGATGTGCAGAACTTTGAACGTCGATGACAATTTCAAGCTTTCCGGAAGCGCGCGCCAACCTTTGAACTAGCGGCACTCGTTCTGCCACCGCTCTTTTTTGCAATGCTATTGTGATGTTGGCAGGAAAGCAAGATGGCAGAAGAGACCCGGTGACGCGCCCCAAAAATAGAATGCGAGTTTGGATTTCATCCGACGTTCAAAGGTTTGCTTAACACTTATCACTCACACGCACTAACACCCAACATTACTGGGTATGTATTTGTAACTCATACCACCGCTAAAAACGGTTGAATAAAAGAAATGTCATTTAAAAACTGATTATGATTACTGATTCACTTATGTTGTGATAACTTCCGCCTTAGGACACCAACAATGATCGTATTACCGTGGAATGGTGCAACACTCCCGAAGGAGCCGCAAAGCAGTTCAGGCGCGAATGGTTCCAGGGAGATGGGATGGTCCGCAGAAAGAATCTTCCAATCGAGTACAACCCATGATTGGTCAACTCCAATAAAAAGTTTAAGTGAAAATTTTGCCGGTGAACATGTTTATAGCTCAATTTACTTGAGAAAAGAAAGCAAAGAAAAAGCATGATTATCAAACGGTCAATTCCAAAATTAAAGTCAAAGTCAAAGTCAAATCGAAGTTCAAGAGCGTCGGTATTGCAACGGTTAGCATACGCTCTCAGACAGAGCGAGACCTGGGTTCGATTCCCGGCTGAAGCAAATATTTTTGCACAGCACTCCACATTATCGGGTATACTATAACGTCATAGCACTGCAAGTGGCAGTCGAACAAGAAGAATTCTGACTGATTATCGGTCTGCCAACTCAAGTGGGTTCAATGCCGATAGCGGCTGCCCCGCCAGACCGTCGACGGTTGGCTGTTGGCAGAGAACGCTTTATAGCGTAAACAAGAGTGCTGTGCAAAACCAGCGTCGGTGGTGCAGCGACTAGCATGCGCTCCTGGACAGAGTGAGACCTGGGTTCGTATCCCGGCTGGAGCTAATACTTTTGCACAGCACTACACATTGTCGGGTATACTATAACGCCAAACTACTGCAAGTGGCAGTCAAATAAAAAGAATTCTGACTGATTATCGATATCCAATGTCTGTCAACACAAGTGGGTTCAATGCCGATAGCGGCTGCTCCGATAGACCGTCGACGGTTGGCTGTTGGCAGAGAACGCATTATAGCGTAAACAAGAGTGGTGTGCAAAACGAGCGTCTGTGGTGCAACGGTTAGCGTACGCTCCTGGACAGAGTGATATGTGGGTTCGAATCCCGGCTGACGCAAGTGTTTTTGCAGAGCCCTCCACATTATTGGGTATAATGTAAATACATTAGGTAAATTATACACCAAAAGATACAAAAACAGATAAATTTTTGCTTTTGTAAAATTTTGTCGTGTTATTTGTTTTCAAATTCAAAATATCAAAAACCTATAAGGCATAGTTGTTTATTTGGGTGGCTCTGACGAAGCGGGCGAGACTGCCGGAACGTACGTAGACAACTGAATCATCAACCTCGAGAAGGCTTACGATATACTCTCAGACTATATTTGATGATTTGTTAATTGCGCAGACAAAATGGATTCAATATTGATTTATGACACCTAAAACCTTCAAAAAAATATCAAGGCAAGTGTTTCACCTGCATTGGCTTCTCGAAAATCAGTGCTCGGTTTCTGTTTGAACTTTCTGATTATGTTTCAGCATAAGTTTTTTAATCAAATGTAACAGGTGTCAAAATAGCAATTTTGGCAAAGTCGCTTCTGTGATTTCAAACTATCTTGTAGTGGAGCGCAAGGGCTTCAAACGTTACCGAAGGAATAAGCCAAAGAGTTGTCAGAAAATGCAAAGTGCAACATAGGTTTGGATAATCTCATCTTGGTATGTTCGACCTTGACGACGAGTAACGTCGTTCACACTTCACTTTTGTTGAAGACGATGAATTGCTGGTTCAAAGGTTCTGGTGAGAACGAATACCATAGAGTTGTTCGAGAAATTGATGATTATAATTTGCCGTTGACAAACGACTCTGTGTTCAACAAAAAATTGTGAATTATTTGATCACTTGTGTCAACGGTAATCCACGGCCACATGTGCCACACATTACACTTCCAATGTTACAGAAGTTGAATGAGTTGAGATACGAAACTCTGCCTCAACCATTATGCTTACCAGATATCTTACCTAGAGATTAACTGTTCTCTATGGATGTTGATAGCTTGATGTGCGATGAAGCACTGGAGACCAAACAGTGTCGAAACTACTTCCACCAAATTCATCGCTTTGTATGTAAAGCATGTGTCTTTCCAATTATCGTTATAAGAAGAATTTAGTGGCTGATGTGGGAAGTCATATTTCAGCCTTCAAGAACAATTAATACGATGGTATTTAGATAAGTGCGTTGTCCTGACGACCGTCTTGCATGATTAGTGCATGAGCACCTCCAATGGCCATGCCAACATTTAGGCCCAATCTCTTCTTTCTAATAGTGAGCATTTCTTGGCAACTTTGATTGGAGATGACGGCCAAGCTCTCTACTCTCAAGGGTAGGTTGACTGTCATACTTTTTAAGCCGTCTTCAATCCACCAAGGCTGGCAAATGCCTCTAAGAAAGACCTTGAAATGCCATAACTGTGCCATTACAAAATTGCGCAAAGAATCATCTACTAAACATGTTTTTTACGGCATTCGTAAAGAAGAACAATAATCCACTAGCATAGCCATATCCGGGCGAAAAGCTCTAGCAACATTTTGGTTGATGCGGAGTCATCGAATTGAGCAAAAGTGCCGGTATCGCCACAATATGTGGTGTTGGGTCACAAAACAATGGAATATGTAAAAAGATACTGGAAATTCTCATTATGTACTGACTATGTCATGACAACTATGAAGAAGAAAAGGCTCTGTAACTTCTATAACTTTCCAAACTTGAGGAAAATAGAAGTCTATAGCACAAATGCCACGGACCTCCCTCTTTAAGGGATCCCGCCCGGTCAGTCGCGAGGGCACGTGGCGCGCCCCCAGGTGGTGGATAGGGGAATAAACGCGAACCAAAAGCGATCGTGTGCTTCCCAGAGACGCAGGTGGATTCAAGGGACGAGCTCCCTGCTTCAGCAGCGCCGATTTGACAAAAACTCTATTTCTACGGGTCAAGTCGGAAAAGCCTGCAATCAAGCGGCTGGGAAGTACGTGGAAGGCGGTTAGGAGTCGCCTCCAACAAATACGCTTCTCCCGCTCCTTCGAGAGAGACTGGCAAGCTACTCGTGAGTACCCAGCCCCCACGTTTAGAGCCTGGCAAGCTATACGTTGGGTATCGAAATGCCAAAAACACCAACAAATATGGGCTTCATTCCCCTGACCCCGAAAGAGCCTCTGGTACGGCAGCGCCAGGTAGGATGAGTACGGAGAGGTTGCTAAAATCTCGCGGCCGAACTAGGCTGCCAAGATCGAAACGGACTAAAATGACGATCTGTACCTACAACGCAAGAACCCTTGCCCACGAATCCGCTGTAGAAGATCTATTGATTCAAGCAAGAAGAGTAAGGTACGACGTCATTCGCCTGGCTGAGACGAGAAGGCGCCATCCTTTTTACGCTGTTTATGACACCGGAGAAGAACTGCTCCTTGGTACATGCGATCGCAGAGGTGTCGGCGGCGTTGGCGTCCTCGTTAAATCGAATTTGACCGTGAACATTGATTCGGTCGAACAACTAACAACCCGTATCGGACGAATACGGTTGAAACGATGTGGTTCTATGCCGGCTTTGACCATCTTAGTTGCTTACGCACCAACATCAAGCTATGACGAAGACGAAGTCGAAGCGTTCTATATGGGCCTCGAAAAATTTTCAGAGAAGATCATACATTCTTCAAGGTCATTGTAGGAGATTTTAACGCAAAAATTGGACCTAGAAGAACGTCACATAGGGCCCCACGGACTAGAATGGAATGAACAGGGTGAGAGGCTATCTGAGTTTATCATGACGACCCAAACCATTCATGGTATCTCGCAATTCCAAAAACCTCTTTCTCAGCGATGGACGTGGGAGTCTCCCAATGGAGAGTACCATAACGAAATAGATCACATCATAGTAAATCGAAGGTTTTGCCTGACCGACGTCGCTGTTGTTCCCAAGTTCTACACGGGATCGATCAGACCATCGCCTCCTTTGCGCAACGTTCCGATTTTCGAGGAGAGGAGAGAAAACCGCTAAATTCAAACAACGAAGTCGCAGAACTACCATAAACTGAGATGTATTCAAATTATTAGTCGGCACTTGGGAGGATACCGTTGTCGACGACATCGACATCGTACGTTAGCGCTATGAAAGCCGAGAGTCCTAAGGTCAAGAAGAGACTCTTGTCTCCGCAGACACTCGAGCTGATGCGTCAACGTGGAATCGCACGAGCTGCAGGCAACCGAAACCTTATGTCCGAACTTGCGAAACACTGCAGACAAGTGATGAAAGAAGACCTCATAGAGAGAAGAGCAGCAGTTATGGCAGAAGCTGCAGAAGCTGGGAAGAGCATTCGCAAAGCCCAGCGAGGCTTCGCCAACTATAAGACTAAAATGATTGCACTCCAATACCCTGACTGGACACTTACAGCTTCGAGAAGGACTATAGAGAAAATCATCCATCAATACTATTCGGATCTCTTCGCTAGCCATGTCCCCTTACCGTCATATAAATTGAAAGAGGACGAATATGTCGCCCCACCGGTCCTCCCTTCCGAAATCCGACATGCTATGTCGTCGGTGAAGAACAGAACAACACTCGGTTCAGACAGGATTAGACCACATCATCTGAAGAATCTGCCGCCAGTTCTCATCAACACCCTGGCTCGGCTCTTCACCGGCTACCTGTCAGAATGAAAGGTCCCTATTCAATGAAAAATCAGCAAGACCGTATTGTTGTTCAAAAAAGGAGACCTTCACGATATAGGCAACTATCGCCCAATCTGCTTGCTGTCCGTTGTCTATAAACTCTTTACTCGAGTGAACCTAAACTGGATTGACAGAACACTGGACGAAGGACAGCCATGCGAACAAGCAGGATTTCGAAAAGGATTCAGTACCATAGACCACATCCACACGATCACAAGACTCATTGAAGTTTCACGAGAGTACAAGCAACCACACTGTCTCACTCTCATCGATCTGAAGAAAGCTTTTGATTCAGTGGAAACAGAAGCGGTTACAGAGGCTCTGGATAACCAGGGCGTCCCTACTCGGTACATAATGATCCTTCGCGAGCTTTATAAAGATTTCATGACCAAAATTTCTCCATTCTACAACAATATCACCATTGACGTAAGAAGAGGGGTTCGCCAAAACTATTCATTGCCACCCTACGAAACGTCATGCGAACATTAGAATGGGACGAAATGGGAGTGAAAATTGACAGTCGACAATGAAACCATCTTCGCTTTGCTGACGATATCGTTCTCATAACACCAAACATCAGCCAAGCGGAGCAAATGTTGACCGATTTCGATAACGTCTGTGGAAAGATTGGTCTCCAATTAAATCTAACGAAAACAATGTTTATGAGGAATGGATGGGTTTCTAATGCCCCATTCACGCTCAATGGAACGACAATCTCCGAATGCTTCAGTTACTTCTATCTAGGTCGTGAAATCAACATGATGAACGACCTAGCTCCAGAGTTGAGCAGGAGGAAACGAGCGGCTTGGGGAACTTTTAAGAGCATCGAAGATGTAGTGAAGAGGACAAAAAACATCCGACTCCGTGCCCACCTTTTCGACTCGACAGTTATCCCTGTCCTGACGTATGCAGCAGAAATTTGGTCGCTACGTAAGCAGGATGAAAGATCACTTGCCGTTATCGAACGCGCAGTCGAGAGGTCGATGCTAGGAGTATCCCGCATCTCGCAAATGAGAGAAAGGATCCGAAGTTCCGACCTACGTCAACGATCGAAAATCAGAGACTCCGTTCTACACGCCAGGATATCGAAGATAAGGTGAGCCGGACACGTGATGCGCTTCAACGACAACCGATGGACGAGAGCCGTTACTAACTGGGTTTCTCGGGACGTCAAGAGCTCTAAAGGAAGACCACTGCTCCGTTGGTCCGGTTTCTTCACGAAAGCGGTAGAAGAAAGATATGATGCTCAGCGATTCCCTAGAGCGAGGACGACCCACTGGGCTACTCTTGTACGCGATAGGGAAAAATGGAAGAGTTGCTGGTACCCGCTCGAGTCACTCGACGATCAACGGGACGACAGGTGATACAGGTGATAACACAAATAAGTGATTGCTTACAAGAATAGTAGAAGCCCATAAATGACCAACACCTAGATTTTACATCTTGAAATAATATCCAACCAAGAAAGTACGAAGTTAACATCACCTATAAGTGGAGACCTTTAGCCTAGACAATGGAGATCAGACACCAAGAATAAGAGCCTCAAAATTCCTTGCGACGTCATCGGTGTAGCAGAGAAAAGGAGGCGCTACATATTTCACGCTGTCTATGGCTTCAGATAAGGACTATTTCTTAGAACACGCGATAGTAGAGGTGTTGGCAGTGTTGGCGTTCTCGACAAAACGAAGACTGTGAACATCGATACACTTGAAAACCTGACAAGCAAGACGGGCGCTTAAGGTTGAAACGATGTGAACCAACATCAGGTTCGATTATCTTCGTAATTTATTCATCAACATCAAGCTATGACGAAGAAGAAGTCGAAGCGTTCCATAGGATGTAAAAAATTCTTCAGGCTTAACGTTGGAGATTTCAACGTAAAAACTGGAGTCACGAAGAGCGCCCGACGAACGTCACATTGGGACCCCGAATTGAAGTGAAACAAACAAGGTGACAGGATGTCTGAGTTTACCACGACGATCAAAACCATCAATGGTTTTTCATGAGTTCAAATGCCCTACTCTCAGTGATGGACATGGGAGCCCTCCAGTGGAAAGTATCATGACTAAGTAGGCTATATCTTAGCAACTTGTTGGTTTTGTCTAAGTGATGTCACTGCTGTTCCAAAAACTTACGCTGTTCCAAAAACCAAAAAGAACTTACGGGATCATATCATCATCTCCGCGCAAAGCTTCATTCATATCAAAAAGTAAGAAAAGCGAAAAAGTTCAAAGAACGAGATCCTAGATTCGCTACAAACCAAGATGTGTTCTAATCATTAATCAGCTCTTTGAAAGACACCGCCATTGACAACGTTGAAGAAAAAGGAGACCAGTTCATTCAGCATCTTCACATTTAGCCCTATGAAAGCAGAGAATTTGATAGTCAAAAAGACAAGCTTCCGGAAATACTTGCACTGATACACTAACGTGGAATTACATGAGTCGTAACAGAGCAGGAATATGGTCGAAGTTCAGGAGCTTGGAGGAACATTGCAAGCCTACTAAAGATTCGTCAATCGCACTTCGACGCCTTGACGGAACCGTTACAGCTTGCGGAAGGGCATGAGGAGATTTTTATGCACGAATACTACTCAGATCTCTTTAATAGTCACGCCTGCTTAATTATAGAATGGATCCGCCATTATAGCGGTTCTTCTTCCCGATATCGGATCACTCTTTTGTTGGTGAAAAATCGAACATCCCTAAACACTTGAAAACTTTCCTACCTCTTCTTGTCAATGGGTTATCTAAAGTTTCAAGGACTGCCTCCCCTTCAGTTGAAATGAAGTCTTTTTTCGAATTGGAAAAAGTGAGACAGAGTGATTTCTTGTACTTTCGTGAAACTTCAATGCGTTCTGTTAGCATGTTATTTGGTTCGTAGTAAAAAATCTTTTCCGCAACATCTCTTTTTTCGCTAACTTGTCCTTCATCCAGCATTCTGCCAATCTTTCCAAGGATGATTGGAGTGCAGAGTTTATGGACGCCGGAGAGGAAGAAGCTTGGAAGACAACTGCCTGTGTTGTGAAGACACTAACACGGTCTTGTTGGTTTTCCATTGACTAGGATCTTCGCATTCCAGCAGGTCACGAGTGAAGAGCCGAGTCAGTGCGTTGATGTGAACTGGCGGTAAGTTCTCCAGGTACTCTGGTTTTCTTCTGTCTAAACTAAGTATTGTTCGATTTTTTTATTGATGAGATGGAGTGTCAGATTTCAAAAGAAAAAGCCGATGGAATGACGAGTCCGTTCTTCAGAGCATTTCACCCGGGTTCGACTGCACTCGAAGATTCCGCTGTTTTTGCGACTGTCGTCCAATGCTTCTTCAGCATGCATATCATAGAAATAGTACAGTATCTGATGTGGGATTCTCTATTTCTATAATCAACTCTACTATTTCTATAGTTAACTCTACTATATTTTACTATATTAGGCCGAGTCTATGACTTGTTTAAGCAGAAGTACCCAGCTTTGGTCAATCGAAACAGAATTTTGAAGTAGCAAGACAATGCCAGACCGCACACTGTCAAAAAGACCAAAACAAGTTTGATGAATTGGACAGAGTCGAGGCCTGCAGTCCAGATTGCACTCCATCCGACTTTGGCCCTTTCCTGGGATCAATGCAACACTTTTTGGAGAGTCGTCGATTGGAATTGTTCAATGAAGTTGAAGAAGCATCTCAAGAGCTCTTTGAAACAGTCAAAGGAATGGTACTTTGACCAGATCCGTAACATGCCAGACCGATACAGAAACTTGTAGAAAACGATGAGCTTTATTTTGAAGAATAGTTTAAATTGTTTTTACTCGAAATTCATGCACGAATTTTCAATTTTCACAGGTGTCCCAGAATTTTTTTCCACCTATTGCGATATCATATACCATGCGTCACACACTATGCACCATACACCATTCATCATGCATCACACGATACACGGTGCACCATACCCGTTGCATCATACACCGTGCACGATGCACCATAAGCTACATACCATATAAACTACATCACGCACCACATACATAAGCAAATACTGTGCACCATTCACTATACACCCTGAGTGGTTATGGATCGATAACGCATTTGATTGATCATGTAACACAATTCGCATGTGGCGTGCGACTTTTGTTATTGAAATTGGGATTTCGCTTCGCTTTGGCAAAATATTTAGATGAGACATAAGAGAATTGAGTGATAAGCAAAAACTCGGCCTCAGACGGGAGTTGAACCTATGTCTCATCCATACCGTGAACTCATGCTACCACTACACCACCAGGGCCACCGGTTACTCACCAGTCATTCTTGAATATCTCGCTAGAGAGAATTAGATAGGGAGACACTGAAGAATGAAGGGTTAGTAAGCGGTGGCCTGTGTGGTGTAGTGATAGCACGAGTCCTCGGCATGGATGAGACGCGAGTTCAACTCCCGTATGAGGTCGAGTTTTTGCCCACTGCTCAATTCTCTTAACAGGCAGTAGAATGGGGGTCGTGGCCGAGTGGTTGTGATGCTAGTAGCGACGCGCGTGAACCGAACCTTCACCCCACCTTCCTCCGGCAGTCAGCAACAACGCCCTAAGGAACGCCACAACCAGGCTATCCTCGAGATTGCAAGGGGAACTCGCTCAACCAGTACTCTACGATGTTCAAGAAGAAGACGAAAAAAAAAAACGAATTGAATGCTAGAAGTACTGGGATCCGCAATGTGAAAAAACACTGTGAAGACGGGTCAATAAAAGGCAAAGTTGAAGGTATTAGATTGGATTTATACTGAGAAAGACATTTTTTTGTAAGCCGTAATAAATTTGGTAATGGTGGTTTTTTGATTGCAAAGAAACCTTTTGATACAAAGTACCGAGGAAAAATTTTTCCAATGCAACGAACTGTTTGACGGTTTCTAGAGCAACCTGCGCACTATTTCTAATAGATCAATAGACTCTTACTCCTACACTGTGACTTGAGCATTGTAAATGGTTAAATTTTCGGAAATCATACTTTATATTTTGTTTCGACATAAGCAATCGGCATTTTGTTGTGACTTGATCTTGCATAGGGTTGTCATAGAGTTTTTATTGTGGGTGATAATTTGATGTTTTCTCCTTCTTCATAGCTACAGTGGCTCCGATCAAGTATAAAAGGTTCTTTCCGCCTCCTTTGATATATCTGTGGACTGCGACAAACATATTCACAGCTCAAGGCACACGTTTCCTGGCCATATTGATTGTAACGGTTTCATTGACAGTTCGCTCACTCGTAATATTCTTGGTCCGTCAACATGGTACGGCTCCGAAGAGCAAGCATCAGCGAGCACCTTTTTATAAGTGTCAAAAGCAGTAGAATACTAATCACTCAAGCGCTGGATTGACTCTATCGCTGTTTTCGTTTTCTAACATTCTGCTCTTCTTTAGTGACTGAAGCTTATGATATTGAGATTTGTCTTCGACCAACTAATGATCGAGGTTGATTACACAGAAGTTAATTGCACAGAGAGCGATGTGCTCTTTTAGTGTCAATGGAACTAGGAATCATTGAGATCTTTGTTCTAGTGGTTCATTTTATTTTTTTTCAACACTCTAGGGAGATTAGCGTTCTCCACGTAGGCACTGTTTAGCAAATCTTTAAGGAAGCCATCATAACCGCTTACGTAAACTCTTTAACTTCGTTAAATAAGTATTACAGAGCTATCATTGATTTTCAGTTGTTGGTTAGCTATCAATGGTCGCATATGATAAGATATGACTGCCATTCCTTGATTAGATATCATTGGTTGCATATGATAAGATATGACTGCCATTCGTTGATTAGATATCATTGGTTGCATATGATAAGATATGACTGCCATTCGTTGATTAGATATCATTGGTTGCATATGATAAGATATGACTGCCATTCGTTGATGAGATATCATTGGTTGCATATGATAAGATATGACTGCCATTCGTTGATGAGATATCATTGGTTGCATATGATAAGATATGACTGCCATTCCTTGATTAGATATCATTGGTTGCATATGATAAGATATGACTGCCATTCGTTGATGAGATATCATTGGTTGCATATGATAAGATATGACTGCCATTCGTTGATGAGATATCATTGGTTGCATATGATAAGATATGACTGCCATTCTTTGATTAGATATCATTGGTTGCATATGATAAGATATGACTGCCATTCGTTGATTAGATATCATTGGTTGCATATGATAAGATATGACTGCCATTCTTTGATTAGATATCATTGGTTGCATATGATAAGATATGACTGCCATTCGTTGATTAGATATCATTGGTTGCATATGATAAGATATGACATTGTTATGTTGTAGTTTATGACATGTTTTTACACATCGAGTGGTATTAAATTGTGCTCATTATCTTTTCAAGTTCATCTGAGCAAGCGAAATCCAATTTTTTGTGGAGCAGGCTTTCAGATAGCATGTGCAAATACTTGGTATCTCTCTTGATTTATGCGTGTGGAGGACTACAGCTGTACAACATGAATGCCTTGGTTCCACCTTTTTGTCCTTTATGTGGCATGTATTTTGTAAGAGTGCAATTTCCTTCTACACTGCTCATCTAGAAGTTAACTTTTGGTATTCTTTTTTGCTGTGATAATTTGGTATCAGGAGATGTCACTCGATAATTTGGTATCAGGAGATGTCATTCATAGGATAAAATGCATGATTTCATGCTCGGTCGATCTTATTCAGCCAAACTAACCCTTTAGATCTTTCTGAGAGAATGATTTGGTTAGTAGTGAAACTACTTTTGAAATAATACCAAAGGGTTGCAATTGTCAAGACGGCCATCAAACATTCCATGCAACAAGATACAGTGGAGAACACCCTCTTTGCTGAGGTCTGTGCTTTCTTGCATAATTTATGATTTTAATGACTTCAACTCATCGTGTTTAGTAGAGATCTTAATTCCCATGCCCATTTAATCCCCAATACCTTAATTTAACCTATTATGGGATAACCGAAATCCTACTAGGGTAATCAGACTTCTCCCATGTAGATACCTCAGAACATACCAGCTCTGATACATTCAGAATTTTTCCACATAGGTTCATTCATGATGCTAAGACAAAATTATCAGCAACATTTATTGCATCTCATCTACAGCGATTATTTCGGTGTGAAGTAGCACGAAGCCTGGTTGTCTGAACCGCTGACATTCGATGCGTAGTTGCTCTGAGGCTTCGGTGGGGCTGAAAAAATTGAACTTGACCGAAGGAGTTAGACCTATGTAGTAAAAAATCTTTTTAACGACTTTTTCTAAAATAGTGGGAGGCACATTAGCAATAATTACACTGTTTTTTCTCAAGCAATCGATGTGCGCCATTGATCGTACTTATTGCAAATACTGACACGTGCCCCACTACTGACGCGTCTAACAAGCAGCTATGCAAAAACTTACAAGTTTTCTACAACCAAGCACACTACACTATCGGCCTTCTAGAAAAGAGTGCGAGGCATAGAACGTTCGATCCAGAGTCACCGCTGATAGATTGATTCAACTTCAGAAAGCCCCTCTATCGTCATACACTTATGCACTTATTTGTGTCAGACAGATCACATAAGCGCCACTATCGTCAAATACTTTTGCCCCGTCAGGTCATAAGTGCTGAGCGTGAGAGTATAAAGTGTGATCTGTAAGTGTGAGAGTATGTCATAAGTGAGAGTATGTTAAAGTGTGATAATTGGGAGAGTATGTCATAGGTGCTCACTCAGATGACATACTCTCAGCAAAAATTCCAAAACACTCACGAGTTGTTGTTGCTCCCGAGCCTCCACTAGTATTTCCGGCATACTCCTCTCTTGCATACGAGCCGCCTGCAGTGCCGGATCCCATGTAGCCCGAGTAACCTCCAGCGCCCATGTAGCAAGACTTGTCGCTCATGTCCTTTGGTGTTGGCTGCTAGGTTGGTGAACAAGCGAAACAATGAAGAATGACACACTCCGTCACTCATTTATACCCCCCGGTGTTTACGTATCATTGATGATAACGATACTGATACTAAACCTGTCTGGTTTCGTCATTTTATCATGATAAAGCGGGAAAAATACGTGCGTTTCCGTAATTTTGTCATGATAAAACGAGGATAATACCGTATATTTGTAAGACTTCATTCAAACCGTAAAACGAAGAGTGTTCGGTGTTCATGATCGCTGAAAAATATGTAGAATAGAACATTTGACCTCATTTTCAGTATTCTAGAAGTGAATGAGTACATAATCGGCCAATAAATTAACTTCCATTAGCCTATCCATGTATTAGGTGCTTTTGTCCTCTCATACAAGTCTGATACCAATTCTTCGATCTCAAGAAGGGGGCTTTGTTTGAAATCCTGCAACGACGAGATTGCTATTACCAATGTTTTGATGTGAAGCAACAAGTGGAAGAAATTTCCAAGAAATTGTCGAAAAGTCTGTCATCGAGAATAAGGAAACTCTAAAAGATTAACAACAATTTCTCACGTGCTTGAGAAATCTTAGTATTATTGTAAAACAGTCAATGCAGGCTGCGTGGATAAGAAACAGCTACACAATCGCTATCTATCACATTTTTTCAACTTCCATAAATTACTCTGTTAACGGGGTGATGCCATAACCTACTCTTGAGATGCTATAAGCACTTGCATCCGAGGCTAAACTGAGCTAAGTTTTACACATTTCAGAATACCTTTCTACTCTACTACACTAGATACGCCTAGTACCTACCGCCGATTATAATAAGCTCGAGCGAGCACTGCATGTTGACATTTGATCCAATATCAAGATGTTAGGACATTTCGCAGTTACAAACTGTATAATCGCTCTCAGTAAGCTGGATATTCCCCTTCCAGTCTTTTCTCCATCAGAAAATATAATGATGTGCACAGTCATTTTGGCAGTCCAATACTTGAGAAATATAACAATCAACTAGTTCATATCTTCATATTCAGTGCTTAATGCCTTGACTATTTATTTGAAAGCTTAATTTGAAGCGGTAATCTTCAGAAACCTTGTACATCATTCTAGAGTGTGTTCATTAAGTCCTTGACACACCGCCAACAATCGCGGTTATTGAAAAAAGTGTTCGATTGATTATTACTTGTGATAATCCCAGTGATTCATCTTAACATTATTTCTCGCCATCAAAGTGAGATTCGGTGGATTTATGTGAAAGTATGTTACTTGTAACATACTTTCATCCCATAGACATTCAGATAAGTCCAACTTTTAGGAATGACACATCAAAAGATCTATGAAATATTGGTACTTCCTTGGTACACTATAGAAAATATCACAATGTTATTTGAGGCAGATGAAGCCTGTCTGTGACAGAAAACGCTGGCTCGATCCGAGTCCCAGGCTCACCGAGGTGTCCATCCTTATATAATCGGCAAAATTGTAGCAAATTTCAAAAGACCGACTTCCTATATCGCTTATTAT